AGAAGGTACAGGCAGTCTTTATTCTTAATACCAAAGCCCTAAGGTGTGGGCTGAAACATACTGGACCCAACAGAAGGTGCTGGAAATAAGGATGGAGGGAGAGGTTGAGAATCAGAATACGAAGGGTTATATGGGTCAGAGAAAGGAGTTTGGGGTTTTATTCTTAGAGGAAAGCTTGACTGTGGGGTGGTTAAATAGAAGGACATGATCTAAATCCCATTTTGAAAAGATCTTGTAAATGGATTTATACAACAAATTAATTAAAGAGGAAGCAAGTGTAAAAGCAAGATGAGTTTGAAGGCAATTGTATTTGTCAAGTTACAGTAACAGAGATTTATATTAGAATAGCATAAAAATGGAGAGAAATTAATGGCTTGAAAATATGTTTTCTGACACGAGCTGTTTTTTGTTTGTTTTTTTCTTTCTGTTTCTCTTTTGTTTATACACATGGAACATTATATTCAGTGCTCTTCTTTTGTTTTAGGTATTGGGATTGAAACCAGGAGTGCTTTACCACGACGCTACATCCCTAAACTTTTTTATTTTTCATTTTGAAACAGGGTCTCTCTAAGTTGCTTAGGACCTCACTAAGTTGCTGAGGCTGGCCTCGATTTTACAGTCGTCCTTCCTCAGTCTCTGGAGTCTCTAGGATTAACAGACATTTGCCACTATGCCAGGCTTCAATGCTCAGTCTTAAAAATCTCAAAAGTTTAACTTCCCCACCCACAACCATCATCACATACAAAGATAGAAAAATAAGATACAATAAAATGGTGAAAGATTAGGAAAGAACTGAGGGGGAGTGGTGGGTATTTACAAAAGAAATGGGCCCCAGGGGCAGGGAGGGCAGATAGCTCTGTGGTAGAGTGCATGCTTAGTGTGTACAAAGCCCTGGGTTTGATCCCCAAAACCAAAAAAAAATTTAAATTATCAATATACAGCACAATATTATGTAATGACGATTCTAGTTCTAAAACAGACTTAAAATTATGTCAAGAAGAAATGAAAATAATCAACTCCAAAAAAAACCCAAAAAAACCCACTAGCTATTTGTACAAATAAAAACAAAATATTTTTACTCCTTTCTACCCTCTGGTGGCTACACATCCAAAATTCAACATTTTTGTTTTGTTTTGTTTCTCTCTCTCTTCGAAGTCTGTCATTTCTGAAGCCCTGGGATAGCCACTTATCATTCCCGTTAGAAAATCTTAACACAAATAGGGTATTAGATTAAAAACAAACTAGTGATTCCTCTTCTTTAAAATAAATTTCATCCTGATGCAAATAATAATGATGAGATATAATATTTATATTTTCCTTATACCTCCACAAAATTGTCTATCCTGGTAATACAGCTGTCCAATAAAATTTTGATTCTTCAGCAACAGATGCCATAAATAAATATTACTTTATTTTTTTTAACATGGTGCTGGGGATTGAACCCAGGGCCATAAATAAGTATTGTTCTGCCTTCACTCTTTTGCTTTCCTCACTTGCAAGCAAGTAAAATCCGTCCTCCTTCGGCTGAGTTTTATGTCCTTTCAGAAACTGCTTCCTCTTCAAAACATGACAACTACAACTGAAAATGTCTTCTGTTCCTTGTTCCTTTTTTCATCTTAAGAACGGAAGCTTCAAACCAGGAAAAATACTGGATGACTTGAAAATGCACTCCTCACACCACTATTTCAGCCAAATACCTCAAATGGGTTTTTGTTTGTTTGTTTGTTTTTGTTTTGTTGTGCTGAGGTTGGAACCCAGAGCCTCTCACAGGCTGGGCAAGCCCTGTACACTGAGCTACACTCCCAACACTCAAATCCTTTTAGAAAATGTGTTAGATACCAATGAAGACATATTTGAGAGCACTGTATGACTCACCCCTCTTTTTGTCATTTTGCAGGTTCTCCTCTTCTTAAGCAACTTTCTTTCTACCTCCAGCTGGCTTCAGCATTTTTTTTTTTTAATGTATTCAGCCATTTCGCCCAGGGCAAACGCAAGACATCACTGGACATCTACCCAGGGGGCAACAATGGAAGCCAGGGCCTGGGTCCTAATGCACAGGAGGGAAAGAACTGCTGTCTAGATTTATGCTGTGCGTTTGCATTCTTTGTAAACGTTTTACCTCTAGATCATTTAATTTAGTGTCACTCCTGAAACAAGTCGTTTCCCAAGAGAAGTTGTGCTAAATAAATCAGCTGTGGAAGGGCACAGGAGACCACTGCGGGGCGGGGGGTGGACGTCTACAATTCTGTGGGTCAACAGTTGTCTGAGATTCGGGGTCGGAGTGGAATCTGGGGAGAAAGTGAATTCAGAAACTAGCGCTGGGAGCTTGTTCCAGAACCCCTCTGGCCTCAGAAGATACCTAGATTCCAGACATGGGGTGCGAGTGGAGACACCAGCCAGAGACCCACAGGTGGAGGAAGGCATACAAATGGAGATAAATTGATGGCTTTGAAGATATGCTTCAGACACACGGGCTGTTGGTTCTTTCTTTCCGTTTCTCTTTTGTTTATACACATGTGCCCTTCCCTCCTTGAAGCCTGGCGGAGTCTAGGCAGGTCCTTTGCGGCCTCTTCAAGGGAAGGAGGAGCTGTTCTCCAACCTCCCTGGCCCTCTGTCTCACTGCTCAACGAGTGCCAAGGGACAAGGGGGGTCCCCTAAGAATCCCTCCCTGGCGGGCCCTTCCGCCTACCTCTCGCAGCCCAGCCATCTTCCTTCAGCCCGCAAGTCGCTCGAGACTTAGCCTCCCGCCCAAAGCTCCGCTCCTTCTCTGATTGGTTCTCCGGGGGGCCTTCGGCCAATGGGGATGACGTATTCAGGCAGACGTAGGCCGAGAGCTGGGAGGAGGAAGGACGTCGGGCCCCACGACGAAGCGTGCGCGAGGGCAGCGGCGCGCGCGGTGTTGTGGCGCGGGCCGCGTGGACTCAGGCCCTGGCTGTCACCACTGCCCAGTGCATGTGGGTGCCAGGATCAGCAGCACCACGAGGGCACCAAGGGAGTGACTGCAAAGCCCGTGTGGTCGGAGGTGGCGGTGAGGGCCAACCCTGAATCCAGGCCGCCAGGATCCCCACGCTCCATTCCCAGAAACCTTCGCGCCAAGAGGTCTCTCAAAGGAGTTGGGCCGGGGCGCCCAGCTTTGCAGGGCCTTCCCTAACGCCCTGCTTTCTCCTTCAACCCCAGTTCCCTCGCTTCTGGACGAAGAAGGGAACCGCTCAGGCCGTTGGCCCACCTGCGCTGCGCTGCTTTGCTCAAACTGTTGGCAGGAGGCTAGACATTGGTAGGAAGCAAGGCAGGCTGGACAGAAGACCCAAGCAGAGACAGCACGTCAGGAACAAATCCTACTGCAGAGCCATTCCAGGTTGGGTTCAGGGGCAAGGGCAGGCATTGGTGTTTTGGAAAGTTTCCTGGGACCCTTGCAACAGCTGCCCTCCTCCACCTATGATTCTCTGTCTGGGATGGAAATTGAGCCCACCCTTTCTTAATTTATTTTCCCACTTTTCTTTCCTGATAGTTTTGATGTGAACAATTCGAACCCTCAGTGCCACCTGACTGAAAACTTCATGCCAGGACAAGAACACAGCTCTGCAGTCAGTGAGTGTGGGTGTTTCAATGCAAAACCAAACAAAACTTGAAATGTTAATAGGCGTGAAGTCAGAATATCAAGTTTGGTTGGGAAAGGTAGAATGCTTACCTATCTTTGCTCCATTGTTAGCCAGGTAATTAACCAAACAGACAAACCTAAGGTCACATTTTTTTCAACTTCCAGGGTCAATCAGGCTCACTTTGGCCTAGTACATGTAAACCAAGAGAGGCAATGTCTTCCCACTCAGAGTCTTCTCTTTATTGTGCACCCTCTGCTGGTTAGTGTGATAGCACAGAGAAAAGAAGATGCATACAACTTCCTACAGAAAGTTCTATACCCATTATTATTTCTTTAAAAGTGTAAAATTGAGCATTATAACCATGGAACCTAGGGGATGAAGTGCTCAGGAAGAACGTTAATAGCACTCTAGGAGTGGGTCTCAGCGGTAATATTAATGAAGAAGATTGAAGGATAATAATAATATCCATTTGGGGGATAATAGTTATTTTGTGCCACACCCACATTGTGCTAAGCAGTTTTACCTGTGTTGACTCATTTAATTTTTAAAACAGTCCCACAAGGTAAGTATTGTTGTTATTCCCATTTCATGGATGAGAATGTGAGACTGAGAAGTCAAGTCACCTGTGTGAGATTATACAGCTATGCTACTAACAGAGCCAAGATTCAAACCTAGCCTTATCTCTGAGCTCCCACATGTAACAACTATGATGATATTATTTACTTATGATACTAGCGATGGAGCCCAGAGTGCTTTTCTTCTGAGCTACATCCTCAGACCTTTTTATTTTTTATTTTGAGGCTGGGTCTCTTAAATTGCTGAGGCTGGCCTTGAACCTGTGATTTTCCTGCCTCAGCCTTTCCAGTTGCTGGGATAACAGGCATGCACCACCATGTCAGGCACCAAGAGTATCTCAAGAGAGAATTTCAAGCCAGGCTTAGTGGCACATGCCTGAAATCCCAGGACTTGAGAGGTCGAGGCAGGAGGATGAGTTTCAAGACCAGCCTTGGAAATTTAATGAGCTCCTCAGCAACTTACAAAGACTCTGCTTCAAAGTGGAGAATATAAAGGACTGCAGATGTAGCTTAGTGATAAAGCACCCCTGGGTTCAATCCCCACTATTGAAAAAGAGAGAAAGTTACCCTTAGCACAACTTCCAGGGTTAATGTTTCCCCAGTTCATACTATACTTCTTTAAAAAAAATATTTATTTATATATTTATTTATTTTTGGTACCAGGATTGAACCCAGGGGCACTAAACCACTGAGCCACATCCCAGCCGCCCCCTCCCCATTTTTTTTTTTTCTTTTTAAATTTAGAGTCAGGTCTTGCTGAGTTGCTTAGGGCCTCCCTAAGTTGCTGAGCTTTGAACTTGTGATCTTCCTGCCTCAGCCTCCCAAGCTGCTGGGATTACAGGTGTGTGTCATCACACCCTGATCCATATTTCCCTGTCATTTCAAAAACAAAAAATATTAGGTATGACCATACCTCTGAAATGAATTATCTCACTTACAGGAATCTGATCCGTGAAAACCTAGGTTCATTAGGTACTACCAACATGTGCTCTTCTGCCAGTTCCAAAATCTTATACAGGAACCCTCGATTTCTCCGGTTAGCATTTCTGCAGCTTCATCAACAGCAGCAGAGTGGTGTGTTTTGTGATGTCCTTCTGCAGGCAGAAGGTAAGACTGGTAGGAACTCAGCTGGAAATTTACCACAGAATAAATAAAATGAGTTTATTGGCCAGGGGTGAAGGAAAAAAAGAAGAATATTATTACCTCCTAGTACAGTAAACTATTTGGTAAACAGATTAAAAAAAAAAAAGCTGTATGTTTCTGGGACAGTTAGCTTTCAGGAGTGAAATTGTGACTATTTTTTTCTCTCCTAAAAAATAAAACTAATTATAAAGTTTTATAAACATCAAAATTCCTTAAGATACGGATATCAGGCTGGAGATATAGCTCAATGGTAAGAGTACTTGCCTCCATGTATGGTATTTGATCTCTGGCACTGGAAAAAAAAATGGATATTATCCTTCCTGGTGATTCGAGGCTGAGCAAGAACATCAAAAGTTCAAGGCCAACCTGATCAACTTAGGGAGATCAGAGATATAGTTCAGTGGTAATGCTCTGGGTTTAATCCCCAGTACCAAAAATAAAAATAAAGGATTGTAGTTGGCTCTGTAATTCTAGCTACTTAGGAAGCTGAGTAGGTCTATCTAGGCATCTGAGCAAGTCCCTGCCTCAAAATAAAAAGTATAAAAAGTTGGAAATGTAGTAGAGCATCCCTGGTTTCAAACTCCAGTATGCCAAAAAAAAAAAAATGTATGTGCTGTTCAAGTGAGGAAGAGCATAGTCTGTAGCCAGATTCTGGGTTTTAATCTTGTCCCTTCTACTTAGTGTAATTGTGGGGATGTTACCAAAGTATGCCTCAGTTTCCTCATCTACAATACCAGTAGCTACATCACAGGGTGTGATGAATAAATAGATTAATACTGGTAAAACCCTTAGAAGAATGCCTGGTGGCACATAATGACTCCAGAAAGTTATTTAAAATTGACATTTGATTAGATATATGTAGAAAGATTAGATTCAAATGACTGAGGCAAGAGGATGAATGGGATACTTTATTTTGGTGTCGAAATTGGGAGGTTTGGGGTGGCGAAATTTCCTTTCCTTGGAAGGTTGCATTGGAGTTATTTGTAAGGCATCCATGTAGACATGCCAGCTGTGATGTTTGGTATCACAGGAAAGGTATTTAGGTAGTGATAGGGCTTTGGGGGTCATCAGCAAGGCTTTGGTAACTGAAGACATGGGATAGCCTGATTGATATGCCTGGAAATTGCCCATAAAATGAGAAGGTAGCTCAGAAGAGACCACTCCCTAGTAGGCAGCAGCAAGAGCTCAGGAAAATTGAAGCCTGGTTGTCTGCCTCTAAACCTACTGTTAGACCACATGCTGTTCCTACAAAATTCTGTGAGCTCTCATGTGTCAATACTATTTATTCAACAAGTATTTGATTTACTTTGTGGCAAGCAGTGAATGTTTTGTGGCAAGTAATGGTTATACATCAGTGAACGGGATGGCTATGGCGCCTGTCCTCACAGAGCTTACAATGTAATAGAGATGGCTAATTCCAATTGAGGTAGGTAAGTGCAGTAATCGTTGTGGAGTACCTTTCTGTGCCTAGGAGCACCAAATCCATACTTGTGGATTGAAAGACTTGCTTTCTTGGGGTGGGTGGCAGTACTAGGGATTGAACCCAAGAGTGAAGAGTGTTCTTCCACTGAGCTACTCCCCAGCCAATTTTATTTTTTGAGTCAGTCTCATCAGGTTGTCTAGGCAGGCCTTAAATTTAACAATCCTCCTGCCTCAAACTCCCAAATTGCTGGGATTACAGGTATGCACTACTACACACAGCTGGAGAAAGACTTTTTTTGTTTCTTTAATATTTTTTGTTGATAGGCCTTTATTTTATTCATTTATTTATATTCGATGCTGAGAATTGAACCCAGTGCCTCACACATGTGAGGCAAGCGCTCTACCACTGAGCCACAACCCCAGCCCCTAGAGGAAGACTTTTTGAATGAATTTTTGTAGGCTAGATTTTGGATTATTAAAAAATAAGCTAGCTGATAGAGAGGTATGGCAGAAGATTCCAGGCAAGCAGAAGGAACAAATTTCTCCTTTTATTTGAATTTCCGTGGAGAAAAAACTATGAGAAGGGGCAATACGTTTGGGTCGTTAGTCTATGCTTAGTCCATGAACATGCAAGTCTACATGACAGTCTGTGTATTTTTCCCCAGGTGAGGCAGTTCCAGCCCACTGCTGCATTCTGTCAGCCTGCAGCCCCTTCTTCACAGAACGCCTGGAACGGGAAAGGCCAGCTCAGGGTCGGAAAGTGGTGCTGGAACTGGGGGGCCTGAAAATCAGGACACTTAGAAAGTTGGTGGACTTCCTGTATACCTCAGAGATGGAAGTATCCCGAGAAGAAGCCCAGGACGTTCTTTCTGCTGCACGGCAGCTCCGTGTGTCTGAGCTAGAATCTCTTCAGTTAGAGGGTGGAAAGTTAGTGAAGACCCCTCAGGGCCGAAGACTGAACCGAGAGTGCTTACAACCACCAAGTGCTGCACCAATCTCTGCCAGAGTGGTGGCACCCACACGCCGCCCACGAACTCCACTGCCTGTTACTCAGACTCCTTGTCCCCTTGGGGCAGTTAGGTTGAAGTCTTTGGGGAAAGAGGAAGGTCCCCAGGAAAAGGGCAACCGACCAAATGCTGAGAACTTGTCAGGCACTCTTCTGCTCAAGAGGAAGGCTAGAGCCTGCCTGACTCCCCAAGAGAAAAGCTCTTCTCCTTCAAGCCACAGTCAGGGACTTAAGGAAAACAAGGATGACTCTGTCCTTGGTCCTACAGCAGTTTCCCCACCCAGCTTGTACCCCACTGTGGATGAGCGATTGTTGCCCAGAAAGATCAGGCTAAGTCGCTCAAAGCCATCTCCTGATGTCTGTACATCAAAGCCTAGCATTTTAAGTGGGTCCAGCACAGTGCCCACAGCCCCTGGCCGGCGTCTTTGGCGGCAGAGAAGTATAAATAAAGAAGCACCAGAGGACAAACAGAAGCCAGGAAGAGCTAGTCCTCTACAGAACACCCCAAGCCCATCTGGTCTTGGGAAGGCAGGTGGGAGTAAGAAGCAGAGCCCTGAAGTCAGAGCACCCAACTCAGACTCTGCAGAGGAAGGGCAGATTGGGAGAGTAAAACTTCGGAAGATTGTAAACGGGACCTGCTGGGAGGTGGTACAGGAGCCTCCCCTCAAAAATTCTCAAGATAGCCCCCAGATCCCAGATCCCGGGAGAGTCTTAGAACCTCCAGGGGCTCAGCTATCCTCAATTAATGAGCAGGAAATGCCATCTACTAGACTAGAACTCTGTCAGGACTCTCCAGTCTCTAGGCTACAAGACTTTCTGCTCTCTGCTAGCCACTCCCCAGGCCACTCTGTGGTGAAGTCAGAGTTTGGGTCTAGTCCAGAGCTGGTAGGGAAGGAACCCATGATGAATATTGACTGCAGAGAGCCATATGCATTTGATACAGCTCTGCTCAGGCAGCCCTGTGAAGCTGAGGAATACCGAATCACAAGTGCTGCAGCCACCAGTGAGCTGGAAGAGATCCTTGACTTTATGCTCTGTGGCTCAGACATTGAGCCACCTGTTGGGTCTTTGGAGAGTCCTGAGGTTGAGGGCTGCAGAACCCCTAGTTATCACCTGACAGAAACAGGAAAGAACTGGATTGAAGGGGAAGAATGGTGTTTACCAGACATGGAACTCTGGCCCAGAGAGCTCACAGGATTGGAAAAGGAACCTGTTAGTGAGAACAAAGAGCCAATTGAGCCCTTTAGTCCCCTTGTCATGCCTTCTGAGAACAAAGAGCCAATTGAGCCCTTTAGTCCCCTTGTTATGCCCTCTGAGGTGAATGAAGGAGGAGTGCTTTCAGTGGGAGACTCTTGGACTCCACATCTTGAAATTACCAACTCCCAGCCACTGGATGGTCAGGGAGACAAACTTCTCCATATTGACTCCCCTGACCCTCTCCAAAGATCTTACAGGGACCTCTCTCCTCCATGCTCAAACTGGGCAGAGACTGAGCTAGACGTGTCCCTAACCATGGATGAGGAATTATACCCTGCTCCAGAGGCCAGCAAGGAGGCATTTGGTAACTCTGAGTTGCTAGGCCCACTTCCTGACAGCTCTGAAGATGAGGAAATTGATGTGGTGGACTGGACAGCAGAAGGGAGGCTGGGGCCTGCTAGTGTTCCCTCTGTGTGGCCTGATCCTTCCTCAGAGTCAGAAACAGAGGTAGACATACTAACGTAGTAGAGAGGGGAGGTGAGGTTAGGGGCCCTGGGAGGGTGGAAAGTGTTGGCTAGTAAAAGGCTTATTTATTGGCAGAAACTAGCACATGCCTTCTCCTCTTAGTGTAAGAGGTAGGTCTACCCTGACTCTTTGTAGGTTCCCTCCTCCCCTCCCCTCCCCAGGCCTTGGGGACCAGGCAGAAGTTTAGTAGTATCATAGGTAGAAAATTATGAACTTGAACTATCTTATTTCTTTGTAATCTACTTTCCAGTTAGTGACAAGTGAAACAATAAACTGTGTGGTCCCCAACTCTAGTGGGTCATAGGTAACAGCCAAGAACCAGGTGTCTCAGTACACAAGGCACTGAGTCTGCAAATTCAGGGAAAGCTCTGAGGTGGGGTTTTGTTTTACTTTGAGCCTCTCAAAATTTAAAAAGGGTTGGAGTTATTACTCAGTAGCAGAGCACAACGTGCCCAGCATGTATGAGGCCCTGGGTTTGATCCCCAATACCATAGAGTAAAAAGAGAAAAATATCCCAAAAGATGTGAAACTATGTTAGGCAAAACATTTAGTGGGTGGGAATGATAGGACACTTCCAGCATCTTATATTTGTGGGGCTTGTTCATTGCTAGTATGTGAAGTCTAGGTAAAACCTCCAGAGGGCCAGAAAGATGTACTTGCATCACTTCTAAGAAGTGAATTGAAAAAGATAGTTGCTTTTTTAAAAAAATAAATTATTTACTTTGCTCCCATAGTTTTTATAAGTGTTTCACATGTTATACCAGAGACTCTTACAAGTTCCAAGCGAATTGGTGACCTTGGGCAATGAAAAATAAGGACCACCAATCCCACAGCTGGCTTTGTCCATCAACATTAAATTTTACTCTTAGATACTTTATTTAACCTTTTATTAAACAAACCAAATTCAAATATTTTTACAATGCCTTACTAGAGGGTTGCCTCATCTGTATCATCATTTCTGGAGTGGAAGAAATGGCTTCAGGTACATGACTGAAGTTTAGCCATGTCCCATCATAAATGCTCCAACACCACCAGAGACAGCTGCAATAATGAGAAGGGAAATGTTAGAGAAGGGATCCAGCACCAAAGACTAAGGAAGACAACTCCCTCAATCACTTTGTTAAATTTTGGTATTGGGGATTAAACCCTAGGAGGCTTTATCACTGACAACATCCCCAACCCTTTATTTTTTGAGATATTTTTTGAGACTGGTCTTAAACTTGTAATTCTCCTGCTTTGGCCTCCTAAAGTCCCTGGAATTACAGGCATGCCATCCCTGCCCCCCCCCCACACCACCCAGGAGCTCAAGGATTGTATCCTTCCCCCAAAGCTCACTCAACATACAAGTGCCTGACAAGATGCCAAAGCATTGAATGAAACATTATGGACAGACAAAAATCCACCTAACCAGAACGCAGTGTTGTAATACAGTGTTTAATACATAAGACATTGGGGGGGGGGGCAAAATAACCCTAGAAAAGTGTAGGGGCAGGTACAGCAGTGTGCCAGTAAAGAAGGAAAATCATTAACCCACACAAAAACCCATGTAACTCTGGGGGCTGGGAATGTGGCTCAGGCGGTAGGTCTGGCATGCGTGCGTCCGGGGTTCGATCCTCAGCACCACATACCAACAAAGATGTTGTGTCCGCCGAGAACTAAGAAATAAATATTAAAAAAAAAAAAAAATTTAACTCTGGGAAGCAGTAAGATTTACAACTGGTTCAAAGAATTAAAATAGCCACCAGGAATGAGGAAATAAATTTTCAAACAAAAGCAATACTGGATCATACCCCCAGGGCCACAATCAACCGCAAGTATACAAATTACGCTTCTATAAAGAATCATTAATATTACCATTAGTGTTCTATAATTTGGCGTAAAGGGACTCAAATGAAAACGGTTAGCAAAAGGCACACCCTGTAGGAAACCACTTTTAAATCCTGTGTGGAATAAATTATAACAGTATGGGCTCCTTTGCAAGAAGCTACCCAAGATTAATTCCCTTTGCATTTCAAACCTCAGCATGAGGACTTCTGCCCAAATCGCCCTACGAAAGGTACTTCTTCAACTCTTCCACCACTTCTTGAGGTTCGGGGAATTTGAGTTTGCGTGGGGGTCCCTTCTTAATCCCGGTCCAGAGCTCGGCACCTGGGAATAAATCGAAATTACTTTGGAATCCACGAGCATCTCTAAAGTCAACAGCTGGCCGCGGTTTCCAAAACTAGTGCTTCTTAGCTTTAGACCCAGGCCCCTCTCCCCCCAGGCCCCGGCCCGCACTCACTGGTGCCGTCCCGGCGCAGCAGGGTCACCTCGAAGCTGCCCCTCCGGGGCTTGGAAGGATTTACTTTCACGGGAAGCTCCGGAGCCTCCAGGCGCAGCGCCTGGCTCAGGGCCGCGGCGTTGCGCCCGTAGACGCGTCAGCTAGTGCTAGGGAGAGACGGGGAGATCAGACTGCGGCCCCGCTGCAACGCCAGCCATTCTTCCCGCGCCGCCCGCGCCTCCCAGGGCGCTCACCAATGCTCAATGACTACCGCCTCCTCCACTTGTTCCTTGCCGTTCTCCAGTTTCTCCCGCTTCTCCGACGTGGAGACCGCAGCGGCCTCGGCCTTCCGCTTCCTCACGCGAGGAGCCATGGCGCCTGGAATCCAGCCGCGCGCCAAGCCGACTGTGGATGCTGGGGCGGAGGGGAGAATACAGTGAAGATGCCACGACTGAGATAGCACCAGGCAGGAGGGCAATAAGACCCGGAATCACCAGGTTTAAACCAGAACTTCCGCTCACGAAACAAAAACTCCCCGCGAGAATGGAAAACGGGGCCCGTAGCGCGCACGCGGCCGGGAGGCGGGACCTTCGAGCCCAGCCACTCCGCCTACCAGAAGGGGGAGGTAGTGCGAGAACCAGGCCCTACCATTAAGCGCTGTGGGTGGAGGGGACCAGGTGAGGCCCGCATGCCGGGAGGCGGGGACTCAAGTCTGGAAGCAAGCTTCATATCCCACACAGAGGTTTAGGTGCCTATGCGTTGCACTAAATGCTATGCTTTATGATGCTCCCAAAATTCCTCCCTGGGAAGCACAGACCAATCCAAAATTAAGTTCACAAAGCATCCCCCTCTGGTTAGCACTTTAGATTACAGAAATCGGTCTTCCCCAACCATCATCAATCCTGGGAATTGATGCCCAGCATTTGGTGAAACACAATATGCCCTTTCATATTACAGTGATCTTGTCCAGCATGGTGGCATTCACCTGTAATCCATTTCTTGGGAGGTGGAAGGAGAAGGATCAGGATCGAAAATTCAAGGCCAATCTGGGCAACTCAGACCCTGTCTCAAAATAAAACTATAGGACTGGGGATGTAGCTGAATGGTAATGGACCCAGGGGTTCAATCCCCAGTACTGATAATAAAAAAAAAATAAAAAAAAAATAAAAAAAATTAAAAGATGGGCTATTCCTTTGCAGTTACTTAGCTTTTCTTTGAAGACTGTCTGGTTTTTGGTGGTGCTGGGGATCCCACTCAGGGCCTCAAGCATGCTAGGTAAACTCCCACTGATCCACTTTCCTAGCCCTGCCTAGCTTTTTTTCCAACACAAGAGAAACACACAAAAGATTAATCAAAAGAAATCCCAGTCTCTTTTATTATAGAAACTGTTGGTTAGGTGTGGGGACTAGGTAGGAGAAAAGGACAGTCCAGGCTTTCTCCTCCAGGTCCCAACACACAAAGGAAAGTCTCAAGCTTTTATTCCTTTTCCTCTGGATCCCTACAAAATAGGATAATTCAATACTGTTTTCAATGATGAAAACTCTGTGGTAAAAGGTTTCTCCTTGGGACCAGTAACAAATTTAGGCTTGTATTTTTTAATGAATGCCATAGACCAAGCCAGAAGGGCCTAAGGAAAGCAAGGGTCCTTGAGGAAAAATTCTTAGTGTTCTATACTCAGGTAAGTAACAGGTTTGATCTACTCTAGGCTGTGCAGAGCCACTAAGAGGAATAAGGAAACCACAGACTGCTGATGTCTAAGGAAGAACAGCAGTTTACACACTGACCCAACCTTGGAGGGAAACCATTTCCTCCCCCATCATATGAGATCTCTCCCTTAAGGAAACAGTTGGCCACAGCAAGGCAGGCCTTCCTCTAGGGTACCTGACAATTCTATGCCTGCTTCTTTAAAATCAGAAGCAGCATCCTGCCTACCCTGCAACAGCCAAACAGGGAAAACAAGAGGCAGCAGCCTCAGGCAGAGCATATGGTTACACTGGAGCAGGGCCTCAAAGATGCCTGGAATTGACAGAAGAGGGAGCAAAAATGAGGCAGGAATCTTATTTATCCTTCTTGCTTTCCCCATCTGGCACTGTGGTGGGGACGGGGGCCACACTCTGCTCCTCCGGGATACTGTCTCCAGTCTTTGATATCTTCTTAGCCCGTTGATATAGTTCATTCAAGTTAAATTCACGAATTACATTCTCCTGCACAAAAGAGATGCACACATCAGGATTTGGTTTGGAAGGTAAAGTTCAGAACCTAAAAGTAAGAAGTATTTAGACACAGAGTAGGAAAGAAGGGAGAAAGGAAAGGATACAAATCTACCCTAATTTAACTTTCCTCTTTTTTTTTAAGTACCCAGAAAAGTCAATTAATACTTAAGTATTCATTATGTGTCAATCACTGTGCCAAGAATAAATGATACTATCTACATGTAGTCTGTAAAATAACCTTGTAAGCCAGATGGATCTGCAATTTGCAGATGAGAAGCCTAAATGCCTATATACTATAGGCGCCTTAGAGACTAAGTCTTCACTCATCATTGTTCCCTGTACTAGCAGTCTGGCATACAATGTAAATTTGGTGAGTGAACTAAAATAAGGCCTAGAATCTAGTCTATATCCCCCAAAACTAGTGGACAAGTGGTAGACACTGGAAATCAAATCCAGGTTGGGTTTCAGAACTCATCCACTGATATGTACCCGTTTGCAATGCCTATTCCTTCAAATACCTCAGAGAAGGTCCAAGAGACAGCTCGTCCTTTCTTGTCAATCTGTGGCCGCCGCATTACCTCCTTGCCACCTTGGAACAGGATCAGGGTAGGGAGTTGCTTGGTGAGGGGTGATATACTCACTTTGTACCTACAGGGCCCAGAAAGGAGTCTGTGAATGTATCTCTATATATTGCTCAAAGTAATTCCTTGCTAAGATTCTTAGCTCTAATCTTTACATACCTGGTACTAACATCAGTGTAGCGTCCAACATCCACCTTCCCAAAATTTAGCCCTGTACAGTTGTACCTGAGAAGAACATATTATTTAATATATTGGAAACATTTTAAAAAGTGAAAATAAAGATATTTGAGGAGAAAAGGGGGTAATGACTTTGGCTGGAAAGCATAAAAGTCAAGGCCAAAAATAAGAAGGAAGGTACTGCATCTCAGTTTCCATTATCCCTCCCTTTGCACTAACTTACTTGAGGGAGAGGTCAGCATAGATAGGAGCAAACGATTGGCAGTCATTAGACCAATTGGCAAAGAACTCCACAATCCAAGTGACCCTCTTGTCCCGCTCCAGTTCCTCCTGCCACACAAAGGGAAGAAATAGTGAACTGGATCATGTAAGAATCTGGGAGGAGTCAGACCTTAGTGCCTAATTCCTCATCCCGACTTCCCTCTTCCTGACTCTCATAATGAATCACAAATGCTCCTGACTTTCATTTTAAAGCACTGTTATTCCTCCTAGTGAACTGAGAACATAATTACAAAACCATCTACCAAGTACCCAAGAATCAGAGGAGGAAGAATACTCACATCAATAGTTTTATCACTGAAGTACTTGATATACTCAGGGCCCATATACAGAGGAGGTTTGCAGGTCATCAGGAACACTGAACACAGGAAAAAAGATATCCAGTAAAAAACATACAAGGCTTTGCACACAGGACTTATCTCCAACCAACTCAAGGATTTCAGCCACCAAAGAATACATACTTGTAGATATATGTAGACCAAAAATATATGTAGACCAAAAATACATTTCCTTCCTCTAAAGTACAGTCTCTGCAGTTTTGGTTTTTTGGTTTTTTTTTTTTTTTTCCTTTTTTTTGGTACTGGGGATTGAACCTAGGGCCACTTAACTACTAAGCCACATCCCCAGTCCTTTTTTTGTATTTTATTTAGAGACAAGGTCTTAAATAACGAGGTTGCTTAGCACCTCATTAAGTTGCTAAGGCTAGCTTTCAACAAGCAAATCCCCTGCCTCAGATTCCCACGCTGCTGGGATTACAGTGTGTGCCACTATGCCCAGTATTATTTTCTTTCCATCTAGGTTACACACATAACTATTTGGGAATGAAATTTGTTTCCTCAAATCAAGTCTTTATGTTTTTGGTGGCAGGGACACTTAACCACTGAGCCGCATCCCTAACCCTTTTTTAATAAAATTTTTGAGACAGGGTCTCACTAGGTGGCTTACAGTCTTGTTAAATTGCTGAGACTGGCTTCAAACCTGTGATCCTCCTGCCTCAGCCTACTGAGCCACTGGGATTACAGGTGTGTACCACCACACCCAGCTAAATCAAGTCTTTTTTGTTGTTGTTGTTGTTAAATACTTTTTAGTTGTTGATTTAACTTTATTTTTTATTTACTTATATGTGGTGCTGAGGATTGAACCCAGTGCCTCACACATGCTACGCAAGAGCTCTGCCACTGAGCCCCAACCCCAGCCCCTAAATCAAGTCTTTATTAACATAGTCTTATGAAGAATTTTAAAAAGGTAATTGCCTCACCTATGCAGAGTGTGATATAAAGCAGGCCCATGCGAATATCCAGGCGAAAAAAAAGAATTGTGTTGGCCACTTTACTAAACATGAAGATGTTGCCTACATGTTGCTCCACGGTGACTGAAACAGAGATGTCACAAGTCAGGCTGGGCTGTATACTCCTATATCCCATATCCCATTCTTTTTCCATCTTCTTGGGGTATTTTTGAAATGGAAGAGGGAAGAAGAACAAATGCCCTAAATAGTGCCCCTCTCATAACATGAAAAAAGCAACTCCAGGGGTATCAGGCCTGATCCTGAGACTTAGAAGCAGGCTGAACTTACTAGATCTGCGGTTCTTCATCATCACAATAGCACTGAGAAACATCAGGATCTCCACTTCTCTCTGGAACAGAAGCAAAATGACAAGGAATTCAGTTAAAAAGAATTGATGAAGGAGGATCAAATGTGTTAGAAAAACCAACAGAGATCCAGACTGAGAATGATAACAAAGATATAACTGCAGTTCACTAAGTAGTAGTGGGGAAAGCAACAGTCAGAAAAGCTATGTTTAGGTTCTACTCCTACCACAAACTGGCTGGTGAATTTCAGCAAATCACTTAATCCCTAAACTTTGGCTTTCCTGACTGACCATTATCTATTTCAAAGTGCTAATGGGAGAATTAAATAAGATAATGGATATGAAAGGGTTGTATAAAGTGTGATATATCCCCAAGATATTATTACAATCAACTCAGTATAACCGTGGTCAAAAAAAATAGCTTTCTAGGAAAGCTTTCTTTTTGTTTTTTTCTTCCACATTTTTGACCGATATTACTCCCCAACACTTCCCCCACTACCTCTCCACTTTTCATCTCAGCTTTTTGATAATATTCTATTAGTAAAATATCTGTTCTACTTGTTTGGCTTTGCTCAAATTCAATTGTTGCTCTCCACTCAACATCTGCAGTAATAATCCTTGTACTTTTGATGAAACTGGAGAACTAAAGGGGAGCTGCAGAGCCCTTTTCAATACCTTTGGCTTACAGTTCTTTATTTTTTTGGTACTAGGATTGAACTCAGGAGCACTCAATCACTAAGCCACATCCACAGCCCTATTCAGTATTTTTTATTTAGAGAAAGGGTCTAAGTTGCTTAGCACCTTGCCGTTGCTAATTCTGAATTTGCGATCCTCCTGTCTCAGCCTCCTGAGCTGTTGGGATTTGCACCACCTGGCTTCAGTTCTTTCTTCTAGAATTTTAGCATCCATGTGAGATAGAGAAGAAACATAACAAAGACACAAACAAGATAATTTCAAAGAGTATAGGAGGGAATGCAGGACTAGTTCACTAAATATGGCTCTCTGGGATAACATGAATGAGAATAAAAGAAAAAGCATGGTGGGGGGAAAAGACTGTAGATTAGATGGTCTAAGGCCTTCCATATCCTTTTTTTATACTAACAACAGAGCCAACTGGTCATTTCAGAAAAAAAATCAACTGAGATTTACAGCTGGGGGTCAGGAACCTAGGCTTTCAGCTTCAATCTCCAAAAGCAAGTAATTAATTGCTGGGTATGGCGGCACACGCCTATAATGCCAGTCACTTGGGAGTCTAAGACAGGAGGATTCAAAGTTCCAAGCCAGCCTCAGAAATTTAGTGAGGCCCTAAGCAACTTAGTGAGACACTTTCTCAAAATAAAACATAAAAAAGGCTGGAGATATGTGCTTTTGTTAAGCACACCTGGGTCAATCCCCAGTACCAAAAAGAAAAGTAACTAATTGAATTTAGATATGGACATGTAAAATGGGAATGCGGGATTATGACAGACTATAGTAAATATTATACCTGAAGCAAATATTAGGGTTTTCATGAATGAAATTGGGTGGGTCTGAATTAGGATTTAAGGATTGAGAATGTAGCTCAGTGGGAAGATCACAGGCTTAGCACATGCAAAGTCCTGGGTTCAATTCCGAGCAACACACACACACACACACACACCCTTCACACACACTTTCTCTCTCTCTCCCTCTCTCAAATAAATAAATGAAAGAGGCCAGGCACAGTGGCACACGCCTATAATCCAGTGGCTCAGCATGTTGAAGCAAGAGGATGGCAAGTTCAAAGCCAGCCTCAGCAACTTAGTGAGACCCTGTCTCAAAAAATAAAAATGAGCTGGGGATGTGGCCTCAGTGGTTAAGTGCCCCTGGATTCACTTCCCAGTACCAAAAAAACAAAAAGAGAGAAGAACTATGGTCAATCAGAAGACCAAATACAAATACAGAACCAAAAAAGGAGCATTCTAAAAGATGGACTGGTAATGAGTACTCCAAACTTTATTTCCTTTTTCCCCTAGGCATCAGCAACTAGACTCTCTCCCAATCACCTTGCATCTTGGTAGTGCTGTATTACTGAGTGGAAATGATTTGCCACTTCTGTACTCAGACAGTTAAAAAAAAAGAGTGTGCCTTGCATTCCAGTTTTTTTTCTTCATCCACTAGTTCCATGGTACTAAGATAAGAGACAGCTATAGGTCGGGCATGGTGGTGCACACCTGTAATCCCAGTGGCTCGGGAGGCTGAGTCAGGAAGATCGCAAGTTCAAAGCCAGCTTCAGCAATGGCAAGGTGCTAAGCAACTCAGTGAGACCCTGTCTCTAAATAAAATACAAAATAGGACTAGGGATGTGGCTCAGTGGTTGAGTGCCCCTGAGTTCAGTCCCCAGTACCAAAAAAAGAAAGAGAAAAAAGACTATAGGAAGAAGATGGAAGGAGAATGGGTTCCAGAATGACTAGATGAAGCACAGGCCTCTTTGTACATCTCTGTTCACAGTTTTTAAATCTTTTCACGGCTCTTCCAAAACAAAACAAAATTTTCATTAAGTAAAATTTCAAACATACACAAAAGTAGGGAGGATATTTTTTTGTGGGGGAGAGGAGTGCTGAGGATTAAAGTTCAGGACCTGTGATGCCAAGCTCATGTTCTTTCCTGAGCTATACTGGCAGCCTGAGAGGATACTTTAATTAACCCCTACTACCCAGCTAAAACAGTAACCAACATTTTGAAAATGTGGTATTTCATATGTCTATGCTACCCACTTTTTATGATGGAAAAAACTTGAAGCAAATTCCAATTACCTCATTTCATGTGTGAAACTTTAGTGTGTATCTCTTACACATAAGGACACTTTTGTTTGTTTTTGCAGTGCTGGGGATCAAACTCAGGGTCTCTCACATGCTAGGTGAGACTCTTATCACTAAGCTACATTCCCGCCTCACTTTTTTCTAATTTTTAACCACAACACAGTACCATAACTATACTATAATAATATGAAATATATATATTTGGTCTTCATCTTGTTTCTTGACATATAGTTCCTAAAATGCTTGAAATCTCTGGAGGAACAAGTGTCTTTTATGTGTTTCAACAGTTGGATTCTTTTTTTGGTACTAGGACTTGAACTACATCTCCCAGGCCTTTTTTATTTTTTGAGACATAGTCCTGCTAAGCTGCTGAGGCTGGCCTCAAAGTTCTAATCCTCCTATCTCAGCCTCCCGAGTCACTGGAATTAAAGAAATACATTACCACACCCAGCTGTAGTTTGCATCTTTTAAAAAAATTTATTTTGAGACAAGGTCTCACTGTTACCAGGCTAGTCTCAAACTCCAGGGCTCAAGATCCTCCTACTTTATCCTCCCAAATAGCTGGGACTATAGGCATGCACAACCCTATACCCTATAGTTTTTGATCTTTAATATCCCCCAAAGGTCCATGTGTTAATGGTTTGTTCCCAAGGTGATGCTACAAGGAGGAGGTAATCCTACTGAGAGGCTTTTAGGCCATTGGGGGTGTACACCTGAAGGGGACTGTAGGACCCTGGGTCCCCTTGCTCTCTCTGCTTCCTGATCACGAGGTGAGTGGTTTTGCTCCACCATATGCTCCTGCCATGATGTGCTGCCTTTCCACCATGCGACCAGCGCACTGGTTTCATTAAAGAGGTTCTTGGCATAAAAGTTAGCTAGTAAGATCAAAATAAACACACAGACTCAATTACCTTTTTCTATGACCAGGTCCGAGACGGCTCCCCCTCTGGCTGTCACCTCAAACCACCCGGTAGGGCAGCAAGGCTTATTCAGGGCTAGCAGGAGACAAAGAGAGGGAACACGCCAGGGAGTGGCCTTTTATTGGAGAACAAGAAATTCAGGGGAGAATTCCATCCAATGAAGTTTGAGGGGGGCAGCACTCCAAGGTCAGGGTCAGTGATTGGCCTCCGAGTCAGTGGTCAGTCACACCCCCACACGGACAGGCTCTCGCACCAGGAGAGGGCCGGGAAAGCTACGACACAGTTTAGCCAGAGAGGCTCACACCCAATCCGGGAGTTGCCCAGTCACGTGTGAGGATGGCTCCCCACACTGCCTGGCCACAAGCCTACGAGCAATCAGACTAACCACAGATGAAACCACAAAATAAATGAAACAAAATCAACCTTTTCTCTTTATAAGTTAATTATCTCAGGTATTCATAACTGATTACCTCTTTAAGATTATCTCATAGTGATGGAAGGCTAAATAACTTATGTGCTAATGAGGACAAAGGCTGGTCACAAGAAAGACCAAGCCATGATTAATGTTGGAACTTTCAGTCTTACCCTCTAACCTCCAGAAAGGGGCTGAAGTTGATCACCAATGCCCAATATTTAACCAATCATTACCTACATTGTAAGGCTTCCATAAAAACTGGAAAAATGGGGGAGCTTCTAAAGGGCTAAACACATGAGGTTCCTTGAGGAGGCTGCTTACGCCTTCTCAAAAAACCACACCCTATGCATCTCTACATCTACAGCCTCTGTAATATCCTTTATTAGTATGCCAGTAAATATAAGTAAAACGTTTCCCTGTGAGCTCAAGCAAATTAGTCAAATCTAAAAAGTGCATACTGGGAACCCCTTTTTATAGCTATTAGTCAAAAGTATAGGTGACAACCTATTGCTTGTGGTTTTGTTTTGTTTTTAATATTTTTTAGTTGTCAATGGATCTTTATTTATTTATATGTGATGCTGAGAATCAAATCCAGTGCCTCACATACAATAGGCAAGCACTCTATCACTGCACTAGGACCCCAGCTCCCTATTGCTTCTTAATGGCATCTGAAATAGAAGTAGTCTTATAGGAAGAAGCCCTCAACCCGTGGGGATCTGACTCTATCTCTACGTAGATGATATCAGAATAAAATTGAATTAGAACACATCCAGATGATATCTGTTACAGAAATGATTGGTTATGGGCTGGGGCTCAGTGGTAAAGCACTTGCCTAGCACATGTGAAGCACTGGGTTCAAGTCTTAGCACCACTTAAAAAGTAAAGATATCATGTCTATTTACAACTAAAAATATTTTAAAAAGAAAAAAATGATTGGTTTAATAAGAAGAAATCCCCAAATAATATTTATTTCCTAAACCAGAAATCAAAGAAATATCCTGTGGGGCTAGAGATATAGTGGTAGAGTGCTTTCCCAACATACATAAGGCCCTGGGTTTGATCCCCAGGACTTAAACAAATAACAAACAAACGAAACAAACAAAAAAAAAAGTTCTGCGTTGCTAGAGTATAGTAGTAAAAGCTGAGTTTTGTTTTTCATATATCACATACATACCCAACACAATAATTCCCAATTGTCTTTATTCAAATGATCCCGTTTCAAAATGTTATTGTGTGTAAAAATGTTATTGTGTGTAGTCCCCCTTTATTCACAGGGGAAACATTCTAATAACCCTCAGTGGGATTCCTGAAACCATGCTTAATTACAAACCTTAGCCTCCCAAACTGCTGGGATTACAGGTATGTACCACTCTTGATGGGCTTCTTTTTTTTTTTTTTTTTTAAAGAGAGAGGAGAGAGAGAGAGAGAGAGAGAGAATTTTTAATATTTATTTTTTTTTAGTTCTCGGCGGACACAACATCTTTGTTGGTATGTGGTGCTGAGGATTGAACCTGGGCCGCACGCATGCCAGGCGAGCACGCTACCCGCTTGAGCCACATCCCCAGCATTGATGGGCTTCTTTAAATTTTTTTTTTTGAGGGGGGCGGGTGCTGGGGAACTGAACCCAGGGACTGTACATGCAAGGCAAACATTCTACCAACTGAGCTATATCCCCAGCCCCATTTTCTTTAATTTTTAATGGATACGAGCTCTCCCTTTTTTTTTTTTAATCTCAGGTTATATATCCATTGAAAAAAAAATTTTTTTCTTCTCCATACTGGGGATTGAACCCAGGGGTGCTCTACCACTGAGGTACATCCCTAACCCTTTTAATTTTGAGACAGGGTTTCACTAAGTTTGCCCAGGCTGACCTCAAACTTGAAATCCTCCAGGCTCAGCCTCTTCAGTTGGTGGGATTACAGACATGTGCCACCACACCCAGGATGAACTGAAGATAATGAGTCATTGGTACTGTTGACTTGCCCAGTTTTCTAGATTTATCAGCTTGATACTCACAGTATGTGTTTTAATGATGACCTTATATTTCCCATATTTATTGTAAAGTGGTAATGAGCTTTAGAGATTTGAATTCAATGAAATTTAAATCTTTTGGCAAAAATATACACCATAAGTAGTGTTAGATAGTCTTCCTCCTACAGCACTCCAAGAGACACATTAACATTTCATCTGATGGTTTCAGCATCCACAAATGATCATTAAGATCTCTGATTTTATTAAAGGCCTAAATAATGACTTTTAAATTCTGTCATTCCTCTGTACTTATTAGCTCAAATTCTTCTATTAAGAAATGAACATGGGGCTGAGGGTATGGTTCAGTAGTAGAGTGCCTGGGCAAGGCCCTTGGTTTGACATTCAAGACCAAAAAAAAAAAAAAAGAAAAAGAAATCATTATTCCTTTATCAAATCTTTTGATTACCATGAAAGACAGTAAGTATATACAGAAAAAAAAAATAAAGGCTTGATTTTTATTTTTCCCTTTTGTTTAATAAAATAGAAATGTTTTAAATACGTTTAACAACTAAAACTTTGGAGTTTACCTTCATTTCCTAACTTCCCAATCACCAAGTTGAATTAGTAAACTAGGACTCTTCCATGAAAACAAAAACTGGCTATCAAGAATAATAAGATGGGGTGGGGGATGGGGCTCAGGCGGTAGGGCTGGGTGCAGCCCGGGTTTGATCCTCAGCACCACATACAAACAAAGATGTTGTGTCCATCGAGTCCATCGAGAACTAAAAAATAAATATTAAAAATTCTCTCTCTAAAAAAAAAAAAAAAAAAAAAAGAAGAAATAAAGGTATTCTGTCCATCTACAAAACTAAAAAATATTTTTTTAAAAAAGGTCTCCTACATTTATTAAAATCCTTATTACTATCCATATACCCTTTTGAGTTTATTGAAACCCATTATCTTTAATGTACATAAAACATCATATTTTAAAAAGGATCTTTTTGAAATCACATGATCTTTTGAAATCAATTCCAACCAATAATTCTGTCAAGAAAAACCTGAAGAATAAACAAGGGAGGGGGAAAGAAAATAAGAAAACGGGTTCTGGTGAAAGTCAAGATTCACTTTTGGAGCTGGGGGGGAAAAAAGACAGAAATTCTACAGGTACAGCTCTTTAGCATGAGATACAGCTTCAAGTGAGCCACATCCCCAGCCCTATTTTGTATTTTATTTCCAGACAAGATCTCACTGAGTTGCTTGAGACTCGCTTTTGCTGAGGCTGGCTTTGAACTCACAATCCTCCTGTCTCAGCCTTCTGAGCAACTGGGATTACAGGGTGGGCCACAGGAGCCTGGCTCACATTTTTTTTTTTTTTAAGAGAGAGAGAGGAGAGAGAGAGAGAGAGAAAATTTTTTTAATATTTATTTTTTAGTTTTTGGCGGACACAGCATCTTTGTTGGTATGTGGTGCTGAGGAGCGAACCCTGGCCGCACGCATGCCAGGCGAGCTCGCTACCGCTAGAGTCACATCCCCAGCCCCTGGCTCACATTTTTTAAAAGAGGTGCCTCCACTCCCACCTAGAAAGCACAGCAAGGGGCTTAGAATAGATTTCTTCACAATAGATCTCAAATCCTTTTCAATTTTGTGTGTGTGCATGCGGTGCTGGGGATTGAACCCAGGGCCTTGTGCATGCAAGGCAAGCATTCTACCAACTGAGGTATATCCCCAACCCAAATTCTTTTCAATTTTGCATCCTTGGGATCGTGCACAGTGCTTAACACAGAGTGTTCACTCTGCAAAAGTTTATCGAATTTAGAAATGGCTTATCAAGTGTGCAGTATTGTGACCATCAGAGTAGTTTCTCAGGATATCAGCAGTTCTGTGACCTTGAGAAGTCGCCTAACCATGATGAGATCAATGGAGGACTGGGATGCCGCTCAGTGGTATAGCACTTTCTGGTTCTGCAAGAGGCCCTGGGTTCCATCTCCAGGACCGCAAAAATAAAATTTTAAAAAACGGAAATACTACTGCTCGCCTTGTACTACTGGCTCCTCAGAGGGCTTTACACAACAAGCAGCACTGTAAAAACCTACACATGTGTAGAGTTTGGGTAAGGCTGTTGACTAAATGAATGGTACAACGCTAAGCATACATCCAAGTGTAAGAGAATACTGGGATGCTGCTGTGCAGGGGCTATAACTAGCCGGCCCCATTTCCCCATCTTAAACACACAGGCTGAGACTCGATGACGACCCGGGATCTACACCCTTCGGTCTATAAGCCTGCTGCAGGCTCAAACACTCAAGCGTTCTCAGAAAGGTGAACCCTGAGGCTCCCAGGTGCACCTGGCAGGGCATGGACAGTCAAGGTCGTGCGCTACTGAGACAGGGGGCGCTCACCCAGTCAAAATCACACGGATTACCGTCTTCGCGTTGGGTGGGCAAACCGTGACAGAGCGGCGGCAGTTTTCTCACAAGTAGGAAGGCGGCAGACAGCAGAGCAGACAGCAGGCAGTAAGGTCGAGCCAGCCATCGTGAAAGCCTCGGCACCGAATACAAGAGAGCAAATAAAGGTGCCAGGACCGCCATCTTTCCGGCCCTTGCTGCACCCGCCGCTCTCTGCCGTCTGTAGTTGAGCCTCCCGAGCACCACTGAGACTTCTATTGGACCAAGTCTCAAGGTGCACCGCCTCTGGGCCCGGAAGTAGATCTCTGATTGGATGTTGAGGCAGGTCAGACCTGAAAAGAGGATTCATACTTTATTGGCCAATACAGCTGTCGTTTTTTTAATCTAGGTCATCTTATTGGTATGCGACTGTGGTGAGTCGAGGTATCAGAGAAGAATTTAAGAAAGTTAGACAGCACTTCCTGAACGTTTTCGTAGAGCGACGGAAGTAGTTGCCGAAATGAGGTGGGCGTGGCTTGCAATATCCAATGATAGGAGGCTCCTAAAGGAAGAGGGCGGTACCCGGTGAAATGATTGTCCAATGAATATCACTAACGCCACAGACACCAAGGCAGCGCCGCGGCTGTGGGGACGATGGAGAATTTCACGGCGCTATTCGGAGCTCAAGCTGACCCACCACCGCCTCCAACTGCACTCGGCTTCGGACCAGGAAAACCTCCACCTCCACCTCCACCTCCTCCGGGCGGGGGACCCGGCACGGCCCCGCCTTCATCCGCGGCCACCGCCCCTTCGGGTGCAGACAAGTCAGCGGCTGGTTGTGGCCCCTTTTACCTAATGAGGGAACTGCCAGGTGAGTACTAGGCCTGGCCGAAGTCAGCCAATCAGATCATACATAGGAGGTAATGGGCGTGGCTATGTGTTTCTCTGCGGTGCGAAGTAACCTAGGCAAAGCTTGGCCAGATGTGCAGCTCAAAGTCGGAAAGGCTGTTAGGATTCACAAAGGAATAGCTTGAATTTATGGCATTGATTGGGGGCGAGTGGCCATGCATCTCTGCACTGTTTTTCGTGCTAAAGCCAGGCTCTGTCACTGACTTGTGGCGGTCTAGGAAAAAAAAAAGTTGGAACTTTAGAAGCCAGATTTAACTTCTCTGGGGACCTAAGGTTTTAGTTTATGTGGGACACAAATTTTGTTTGAAGCAAGTTGCCTGCCTTCCCAGAAGTTCAACAATCCATCTACTAAAAGAGGGTACTAGAACTGAACCAAATTCTTCCATTCAAAAACTTATTTGGGGGACTGGGGATGTGGCTAAGTGAGAGAGCACTTGCCTAGCATCCATAAGGTTCTAGATTCAAGTGACAGTACCACAAGAATACAAAAATTATTTTGTTAAGCACTATTTATCAAGCACTATTCTAAACACTGGAGATACAGTGTGAATAAGATTGATAAGATCCTTGCCTTTTTGAAGATTACATGTCAGCAAAAGAGATGAAATATAAACATGTATCCTGTATCCATTCACTTTTCCTGAACTACTGAAGGGTAGCTTCTGACTGATTAACCCAATTTTTGTTGTTCATGGAGCTGTTTGGGTAATTAAAAATAAATGATTGGGCTGGGGATGTGGCTCAAGCAGTAGCCGCTCGCCTGTATGAGGAACAGACATAAATAATTGAGGGCAGAACTATTTTAGCTGAAATGATCATAGCATTCTCTCTGAGTAAATAGCATTTGAGCTAAAATTGAGCATAGACAAAGATCCTGCTACTATGTACAGAAGGAGAGATACTTCTAGGTATACACAAAATTAGATAAGCTAGTCCTAATGTAAGAAAATGCTTGGAATCTCCGAGGGACAGAAGACCCACTGGACGCCAGTGAAGTGAACAAGGGCAGGGTGAAGAGGAAAAGCTGGGCAGAGGCCTTTAGAAGGCATTTAGATTTTAAGTTATAAGAGAAGCCAACATGGGGTGACATGATCATTTATTTTATTTTATTTAAAGAGAATTTCTTTAATGTTTATTTTTTTAGTTTTCGGCGGACACATATACATCTTTGTATATGGTGCTGAGTATCGAACTCTGGCCGCATGCATGCCAGGCGAGCACGCTACCGCTTGAGCCACATCCCCAGCCCAATCATTTATTTTTAATTACCCAAACAGCTCCATGAACAACAAAAATTGGATTAATCAGTCAGAAGCT